TATTGACTTTCTTGCCAAGTGTTAGACGAGAAGAACGATACCACCATGTCATATCTTGTTTGTTTAATGAGTAAAGTAAGAGTAAAAACAACACAAACTTGTGGTTTAAGGGGGCGTGTGAGCCTGTTTCTTGGTGCAGTGACTTCCACCGTTTGCACTCTTCAGGCTGGTAAACTAATCTGCTGCAGCTTAATATTAACCTTGACAGACACGGGAGCGGTATCAATTTTCTCATCCAAGAATAGCAAATGGGAGTCATTTGAAAAATGTCAAACTGCTCCTTTAAAATATTATTCGTAAGAATGTATTCAGATCTTGTGAGCTTGTGGTGGTCCCTACTGGGTGATTCGCAAATAGCAAATGATGTTTGAAATTGTCGCTACTTACGTCACTGGTGTTGACAAACCAGGCGATGTCTCCAAAGGAAGCCAGTTCGCCATTCACATAGCAGCTAATCTCACTGTTTTTCCAGCGGTTGTAGACGTGAACGAGAGTCACCATATACCACTGCAAAATAACAAAAATAAGCAGACTCTCACAATGGCAAACTCCTACTGAATGTGTGGAGCATCAATCACACACACAAGATATCAATAAGTCAGCATGTCATGTCAATTGGCCTGCTTCCATCACGTTTCAGGATTCCCCTCAAGCTACGATCCCACCTACTTAGATTTCCGGTTTCATCCTCAGCCTTACAACCAGTAAAATAGGTTACCGATGTTGCCACAGTGAAATAGGTTATTATGGTTTCTTCCGGACACGAAATAAGGCATTAAAAATAGAGTGAAAAATCAGCTAAAATGAGTTCTGGGTCCTCATGAGGTTTATTGAGGTAAGGTGGGGCCTTCATGCCCAAGGGGAAGGAGGAGGATGTTTCAAATTGTCCGCTGCAATGGTCGTCCGTGTGTGCCGTGCCTGGAAGGGACTGGGAGTATTGGATCATCCGTCTCTCCCGTTGCCCTCATTCCTCCTCCTTCTAGTTTGGCTTCTCCCAAGAGTCAGGTAAGAGGCGACAGTTCTTTCTTACAGCAAGGTCCAGATTTATTGTGTGTGTGCAAGTGATTGATTATGTATGTGCAGACATATGATTACATTGAACCATCTACAATGACATTTCCAGGCTTTGTCTTTTTTGTGTGCATGAATGTTTGGTTGGCCTCGTTCACCAAACCAGTACCTGTGTTGTGCTTCGTGTCGTGTTCCTTTCGTACCTTCTGTGGTTTGAAGTCGTACTTTACACAGTGCTGGAATCCTTTCCCCTTCGTTTTTAATGAGGTCACTATCAAACATCCACCCACAAAGTGTGCAGAGTAACCCATGCCTTTATTGGTGCGAAAACTGAAAATAAATAAATGGAAAATACAAAAACACAGTTTTAGGGAGGCTGCACAATTTCATGCTGGGCAACGTGGGTTATAGCGTCCAATATCATATTAATGCTTTAAAAAGGGTCTCAAAAGGATAAAGATAGCAAACAATCATTCCTCAACTTCACAGACTCGTCCTATCATTCCAAACGTCCCGGGGACTCGGAGCCCCTGTGTGTGATTTAGTGAATTAATCTCTTTTTAAAAAGGGCACGGGGCTGAAGAGGAGCTTTTATTACAGATTCGCTCAAGCAGCGCGTTGGCCATCCAGCTTGGTTATAATTTTCACAGACGCCTAAACAGATCCCTGTTGTATAAATGAGATTTTTGACAGAAATGAATCATTGGTTGAAAAGAAGATCAACCAACCCTCGGCTCCTCAGAGAGGAAGCAGAGGATGAAGAGACAGGAAAGATGGAGGGAGGCGCACAACCGTTTTCTCATCTGTGAGGCTGGACTTCTGCAGCATTTGGGATTCAAATGCATTTAAGATACAATTTGGTCATAACGGGGACTTGTGCACATGCATATGTTAACACTTAAAATGCACGCACCCATGTAACACAACCTTTCATGCAATCCCCCTCTGCATTTGTTATTTAACCTATAAATGTGCACTACTTCCCAGAGGCATTTCTGCATTCTATATATAGTATGTTTAAACTTAATTAAACATTTAAATGTCAAACAAAGGTTTAGGTTAACTCAAAGAAAGGTATTGTTACCTACCAGTACAGGTAAGGCTTGTCTTTGTCTACATTGATGTTGTTGAGAGGATCCATGCGGAGCCATGTGTGGAATGTAAACCCATTCTGGTACGGCCATTTTGCTATAGGAGGCAGAGCTATAGCCTGTTAGGAAAAAACATGAAATGAACAAAGAACTGTGGGTTAGTACAATAGGCATTAAGCTGCTGACAAACACTGATCAGTTCTAACAGAGTCCAGATCAAACAAATCAGAGGTAAACCCATCTGGCCGACCTGTATACTTCCACACGTAAAAGCACCATCACCAAGGCAATGGAGTTCATATAAAGAAGGTGGCAACCACATACACTATTTACTTCCTGCATGACCCACAATTGATGAAATGAAAGTTTGTAAATATTAATGTTACTTAATAATCAGATTGTTCTTTACTCCTACAGATAATTCCTGAAGACATTAAACCAATTTAAGCCATTTGTCTGAGTTACTTTTACTGTTTAAAGCATTAATAAAACTATTCAAACTTGTGATGCATTAAAGGGAGGATCCTCCCGAATGAACATACTGCCATTACACATCATACCCCCTGTGGCAGGAAGAGGAAAAAAAACGACAGCACACCTTTCACTATACATGGTGAACAATTCATGCATGAGCAAAGCCATGCTTTTGTAAAGTTCCAGTGCAATGAACACTAAAACTGGAGAGAGATTTAACATTGTAATTGAAATGAATAAACAATGCTTTTGATATTAAAATTGTTTTCCTGTTGGAAGTCTTTTGTGATCTCTAATTCTATTACGTGCATTTCATTGTGTTTTGTTCAATGAGCGTAACAAGGGCATGTTGTCTACTTAACGCGTTCATTCTCCAACCAAAACACAATAAAGGTTGTTTGGTACTTAAATGAACTAATTATGCATCTACAGAAGGACAGGAAAAGAGCACAGCCGGTGTGTGTGCAGCCGGATTTTCATAGTTCAAAGCTGAATAGCTTTGAACTATTCAAACATTCTGTTGGCTCGACATTTATTTATTTATTTTGCATTAATATCTAGTAGGACATCTTGCTTCTCATGTACTGAAACGTTCCAAATAGCAGTCCAGCACTAACCTTTAAATTCACGTCTGTCAGCTCATCATCTATGTTCAAACACACTTAAAAGGGGATGTGTTTTTCATTCTGCCACGTAATGGTGGACATTATGGAGTATACTCACAGCTGCATTTTTCCCTGGAAAGCTGAAGAATGAGTCGGGGCCATTCCTGTGAGCCATGTACTTCAGAACTGACAAAAGCTTCACTGCATGGCGAGGCTGAGGAGAAGAAGAAAACACACCAGGATCATTTTAGACAGGCATACATATGCACATAGAACCATATGAACCCTAGTTACACATTCGCTGTTTCTGCATGAAGCCACAAATGATTAAAAGCGAGCGCAACTTTGGTTCTGCTTGTTCTAAATTTACCTCTTAGACTCATCATACTTTGACATCCAGCTACATTTACTCAGCAGCACACTCAGAATTCAGTAGCATCTTCATTTACCACATAATATACTTATCATTGTGCACGTTGTTGCTCTAACACACAGAATTCAGATACTGGAGCTAAATCCGGGGGAGTGATAAACATTCCTGCATATTTTCATGATTTTCAACAAGGTTGTGGTTTATGGTGTTCAGTGGCAGAACACTTCATTGTTAAAGTTCTGCACTCATCCCGTCAATAACATCTCCCCAGATACTTCACACAAAACATGAAGAGAGGAGTGGCGGCAAGATCTGCTTGAAAGTGGGAGAGCAAGGTGAAATTCAGAAGCATAAAAGCAACTCGCCCCATTTCCTTGACAACTTGATCAGTGTCAGTGATCGATGGACTACTTTCCCTCTCGTCATCCGTCTCTCCCTCTGTGCCACTGGTCCTGCCTGAATGTAGTAACTTATCTTCTGTACCACTATCATACATCTTGAGTTCATTATTCCCTGATAGGAACACACGCGCGCACGCACACGCGCACACACACACACACACACACACACACACACACACACACACACACAC